AGCCGCAGCGACGCCCGCCGCGGCGCGCCTGGCCCCGCGCCCGGGCCCCGAGCCCCCGCCGCGAGCGCCGCCGCCGCCGGATGCGCGCGCCGCGGCGCGCTCCGCCGCTTTGAGCTCCGAGAGCGTGGGAATGTGGATGAGGACGGGGCGCGGTCGCAGGGCGGGCGGCAATATGCGCACGTGCTTGCGGCTGAGCTCAAAGTAGTGCGAGGCGCTGCGCAGCATGTTCTGGGGACCGGCGGGGGTTGCGTGAATGAGCAAGGAGGGTGTTGGTATGGTGTTTGTGTTTGGGGGCTTACTGAGGGCTTGGCGCTGGAGAGCCGCGAGAGACGGCTCGCGGACCAGGCGCGCAGCGAGTGATACAGGCGTTTCAGGTGGCGCGCGTGCGCCGCGCCGCGTCGGGCCGATTGCCACGCCCTGCTGCAGGCGCCAGGCATCCCTACAGCCCAAACATGCACCAATCTGACACCGCTGCGGCTAATTCTTCCCCTGCCGACCCCACACCGAATATAAATTGTCCCGCCTGCCGCCTCCCACCTTGACCTTGGCCCCCTCCTCCAGCTGCGCCCTGTACCGTTCCTCCTCCCTGCCGCGCGTGAGGAGGTACACCACGCGCCCACTGCGGTGGCGGCCGGTTCGGCCGGCGCGCTGGGTGGAGCGGATGGGGGAGCTGGTGGTGTCGAAGTTCACGATGAGGTCGACCTGGTGACACACTGGGAGGGGTGACGGTCGGGGTGACTGGTGGGGTGGTGCGGCTGTGGGGTGGGGTTGGTGGTGGGGTGTAGGGCAGGGTTGGTGGGGTGGGTGGTGGGATGGATGTGCAGGGGAGACAGATGGGGCACAAGGACTGCGGCACTGTCCCCTGACCACGCAGCGTGGACAGTCCAGATGGTTGTGGTGGGCGCCCTGACCTCTGACTCACTAACCTCGGGGATGTCCAGGCCCTCCTCCCCGATGCTGGTGGCCAGCAGCACGTTGATCTCGCCCCGCCTGAAGCCCTTCAGCACGGCATCCTGCTCCTTCTGGTTCATCCCCGCCCCGCCGCCGCCGCTGCCGCCGCCCGCCGCAGCCGTCAAAAACGCGCCGCCGCCGCCACTGCCACCGCCGTCGCCGGGGGCTGCTGTGGGGTCGGCGGTCTTCTTGGAGCCCCGGCCGCGCGCCTGACCCTGGCCGACAAACACACTGTGAGGAAAGAAAGCCGGCGCAAGTGCAACGCTCGCGCTGCCGAATGCGTTCCACATCTATTCACAGGCAAGGCCAGCAAGCAATACTGGCCCACAAGGCAGCAGTCAGCCATGCGAGGCAGGTCAGTTCCCGCATGCAACAACCAGCCCACCCCACCGGCCGACCTGGCACGTATGAGGGGCTCGTGCTGCGCAAGCTCCCCCTGGATGACAGCCACCAGCTCGCGGTTGTTGCAAAACACGATGGCGCGGGTGATGTCATCGAGGGGGGCGCCTGGGGGTCATAGGGGTGGGTGGGAGGGGGGGCACACGATGGACATGGATACCAGGGAATGGCCTCTATTTGGTGATGAGTATGAAGGCCGTTGCCAGTGTTGCGCTAGTGTATAAACCCTAGGTGCATTGAAGCACGACGTGCTTTCGTGTGTGGACTATAGGGTCTGTTGTGAGCGAACAAAGAGCTCCAGACGCGCACCGTCCGCGCCGCCTCCCGCGACCTCTGCGGCGACCTGCGCGGCCTCAAACTCCTGAAAATGCTGCAGCAGCACCTCCGCCAGTGCCGGCATCTTGGGGTGCTTCACGCCTGACGTGGCCTGGCCGGGCGTGGGCGTCGGGCACATGCTAGGTGAAAGCGGTCCAGAGGGTTGGCTGGTGCCTGATGCATGTTGGACAACTTGCTGTACCATTGTCAAGAACGGCATCCCAACCCCCTACTCCCCCCCTGTACAACCCCCGCTCTCACTTCCACGCACGACCCGCTGCAAGCTCCACCCGCATTTCATGTCCCCCACATCACCCCTTTGCAACATCGTGCCCATGTGCGCGCACGCGCGCGCGCACACACACACACACACACACACACACACACACACACACACACACAAATACACACAAACACAGAGACACACTCACATGTACACACACGTGCGCATAGACACGCTCGCATACACACTCTCTGAACCATCCTCGGTTCCCCTCCCAGCATCACACACTGCAACCACGCCCACCTTGAGCCTGTCCACCATCTGACGGTAAGCTGCATCCTTACCCAGGTCCAACAGCGGCTTGCGGCCCGACGCCTGGACCTGGATTGGAGCAGGTATGTTTGACGACAAAGTGGCGATTGCTTGCGATCAGCCACTGGACATTGAGGTTGGGGGATTGCGTGCCGCTAAGCTCGATCTGGCGGCGGCGGCATCGGCGGGGCCCAAACCCGCAGGCGGCCGCAGCGCCTGCCCACCTTCGCCACCTCATCGAGCGCCGCCGCATGCCCCGCCTGGTCCAGCGCGTCCATGACGCGCGCCAGGTGGTGCGCCTGCTCAAACGCGCCCTTGACGCGCTCCTGCGCCGGGTGCGGCAGGGCGCGGGTGCGGGCGGCGCCCTGGAAGGCCTTGAACCCGGCGGCCAGGCCGGCGGTCGTCGCGCCGCCCTCGCGGCTCGCGTCGATGTTGTACGCCTGGAGGAGGTGTGAAAACATGGCGCCAGTCGACTTCAGTGGAGCATGTGTGCGCTGCATGCTTGACTTTGCCTTCCAAAAGAGGAATTCTCTTCAAGGTAGGCATGATTCACAGTGGAGAGAGCGATTGAAGAGATGCAGCGCTGTGGCATAAGGTGCACAGAGGACTTCTGAAGCGAACCAAGCCGCCGCCAGGGGGCGGCGCTGTCATACTGCATAGCAAGGTGCTGTGTTGGTGCGCGCGCTTACACAAACGTCCGCGCGTGCACACGCACAGCAACGCATCCACACACACACACACACACACACACACACACACACACACACACACACACACACACACACACACATGCGCATATGCTTGCACACACACGCGCACCTTGGCGTTGGCGAGGACTGCCAGGGGCCCGCGCGCCGCCTGGGATGCGAGCTCTCGCACGCGCTCGGTCTCAAGCAGCGGGTTGACGACCTGGGCGTGGAGGACAAGGTTGACAGCGGGGCAGGTGCCATTGAGAAGCCTGGGGCCTGATGGTCGCCCAGCTTCTTGCACCTTGTGACTTGCCGCATCATCAGAGTCACAGTCTTCCGTACCAAGTGTAGTGCAATGATAAATCAGTAACAACCGTTAACCCACCCTCAGTCTCCGGCATGTTGTTCAAGTTCCAGCACTAACAACGCTCGTGTTCTTGTGCCTGCATCTCCGTGACCGCCTTGGCCGACCGCCCTCCTTCCGCCCCATCTCACAGGCTTATCAGAGCCGGCAGCCCTCCTGCCCCTCACCTGCAGCACAGTGTCCTTCTCGTGGGTGTAGGGAGCCAGCTCAGGGTCCCCCTCGTCCAAGTACAGCACGCGGCGGACGCCCAGGGTGCGGATGACCTCCTGTTGAACCCAGGGAAAAAAGGAGTTTGCGGGAACGTGCCAGCAACGGACTGCGCCTGCGCGTTGGATGCGCTGCCCAGCATCCACGCCTCGCTTTCTCCCACTGCTGTTTGACTTGACCTGAAGCATGCCGCATGCAAGCTTGCAAGTGCTGCAAACTGAGTTGCAGGGTAGATGGCCCAAGCCCTGAATGCGGCCCCTTGGCTCGCCTGCACAGCGTTGTAGTCGCGCCCCGGCGTGGCGCTGAGGCCCAGCACCCTGAAGGCCACCTTGAGGCTGCGCAGCTGGTTCAAGATCCTCACATAGTCGTATTCTGGCAGGAATGGGGGCAAGATGCAGGGGGTTTGGCTTGTGGGTTCGGCTCGACACGGCTCATCAACATGGCTGTCAACATGACAGAGACTGTGTGAAGCGCCTGCTATGCTTGCAGCACGAAGCATGTCGATCTTGAGAGTCAGCTGGCGGCACGACACTCCGATTAGAACCTGCCGTCATGTCGCTGTTTTCCAACTGCAGGATATCCCTGCCGTCTGACGCCGCTGGCCGCTCACCGCCCTGCGCCCTGTGGCACTCGTCCAGCACGAGCGCCACCACCTCGTCCCCGGGGAAGCGGCCGGTCTTGAGGTCGTTGGCCACCACCTGGGGGGTGCAGAAGAACACGCGGCCCGCCTTCCAGGCCTGCGCGTGTGCAGGGGCGTCAGAAGGGTGAGGCAGCCCAGTAGTGTAAGTTGCGCAACACTCCCACGCTCCCACCCGCACCAGTTCAGCCTCGCCCACCCTGCAGGGGCGTTCTGGTACTGCAGCTGCACATTGTTTTGGTACCCACCTGCATGCGCTCAGCGACGCCGCCGCTGTTGCCGGTCAGCGCCATGACGTGAGCCTCCTTGGGGGTGCAGTGCGAGAGGAGGACGGGGCGGGCTCAGCTTTGCAGCGGCTCGCACACTGGCAGGCCTGCCGGGGCCAACCTCGGTGTGCGGCCAATCCAGCGCTCAGGTAAATGCAAAAGGGCTCAGCCACCCCTGGCTGTTTGGGTGTTGCCCTGAGGCTGTGGCAGCCCGGCTCCCTGCTGGCTGCCACAAGTGCATCAGACCGGCCTCTCGAGCAGGCAAGTTCGCTCCTGCAGCTCACATTGCAGTTATCATGACTCCCGCTGCACTGCTTCCCCGTGTGCCGGACAGGCCTGTCGACATCATGCACCATGCGGTGGTTTGCTGAGGGCCGCCCTCACCGGGATGCCCATGATCTCGCGGCAGCTGTCGTACTGCTGCTTGACCAGCGGCTTGGTAGGCGCCACGAACAGCACCTTGCCCTGCGGTGTGCAAGGGCAAGATATCGTGTTGTTTAGAGCACTTAACGAAAGGGCGAGGGCCAGATCCAGCAGCGCCGCTGCTCACGCTCGCGCTAAAACACATACATGCACATGGCGGCTCCTTGTGCGGCCGCTTTGGCTTTGGAGGTGCCTCTGTGGAGGTGTTCATCACATGAACGCGCCTTACCCCCCTGCGAGACGACCTGTCGAGGCGCCCTCACCTCTGGGAACCACCTGTAGAAGTTGAGCATCACCACCGCCGCCACAAACGTCTTGCCCAGGCCAGTGGGGAGCGCCACGAGCGTGTTGGCGCGCAGGGCGCAGGCTGCCATGTTGTACTGGTAGGGGCGGATGGGCCGGTTCTTGGGGTAGAGCCAGTACCTGGGTTGAAATCAAAATCATGTCAGGATGGTTGGGTGACGTTTCCGAAGATGACAGCGGCGCGTACGTTCGGCGCTGTGGTCAATGGGTACAGATCAGGAGGCTCACGTGCATGAAAGCGAGCTGCAGGGGTGAAGCAGGCTGAGAACACAGGCTAAGGGCCAGGCAGCCGCCAAATCCCATGTCATGCTCACCTCAGGCGGCTCGCGCGCGCCTTTGGCAACACCCTCAATCCCTCGGCCGGCGGGCACGTCAGCTGCGACGGCAGGCCCTCCCGTGTCCCGCCATCGCCGCCGCTGGCACTCAGCGGGAGCGGGGAGCCGGGGGGCGCCTGCGTCGCGGTCGTTGCGCCTCTGGGCGGCTTCATGTAGGCGAGCAGCTCTTTGATGAGTGCGGCGTCGCTGACCGGGTCGAGATCAAGTTTCTGGGGGTTGTCATGCATCGTGCAGTGTGAACGTTTGTCATCGCACGCGCCACATTCGAAGGGTATGAATGCATCTGCGGGGCGGGCTGCAGCCTTGCTATTCCCAGGGGTGGGGGCAAACACGCAGCTGGCCGTATAGCTGTTGTCAACATGCTGCCCAGGTTCCGTGAGGCACCCCTGCAGCTTCCTAGCACCTACCTCCTGGGCCAGATCATCCTCTTGCCCGGCCACATCCTCAGGATCGCAGTCTAGCTCAATCGGCTGCCCGCGTGTGCCGCCCCTCTCGGTCAACCCCACACCGCCGCCGCCGTCGCCGTCGCCAACGAGGCCATAAGCCCCTGCACCCTGGGCGTGCTGTCGCCTGTCTTCCGGCTGCGCCTGGAAGGCGGGCGCTGCCACCAGATCGTCCAGCGTCAGAGGCGGCGGGTCCCCAAGGGACGACGCGCTTGCCTGCTGATGTAGCTGCTGCTGTTGCTGCTGCTCTCCCTGTGCCTGGGCCCGGGGGGCCTTTGCAAAGAACTTCTCAATTGACGACTGCTGACCCTGCACCTGCGTAAACTGCCGCTGCGGCTGCTCCTGCTGCAGCTGTTGCTGCTGCGGCTGCGCCCCCGCTGCTTTCCGCTGCTTCGCGGGTCGCAGCTCGTGGTAAGCCGCGTGCTTAGCGCCCGCCTGGGACACGGGCCGCGGGTTGCCTGCTGCCCGCCCTGCGCGATGCTGCGAGTGGGGCCGTTGCTCAGACGGCAAAGGGCGGTTGACGCTCACCGCGTGCAGAGGTGGCCGGCTGTGGCCGCCGCCTGGATCGGAGCGGTGCTGCTGTGTAGGTGGCGCATAGGCAAGGCTGGCCTCCCCCTGCTGCTGCTGCTGCTGCTGCTGCTGCTGCTGCTGCTGCTGCTGCTGCTGCTGCTGCTGCTGCTGCTGTGTAACTTGCTGCGAGTTGCACTGCTGGGCTGCCTTGAGCCCACATCCGGACAGTGGTGCTGTGGCCGCCAGCCTCAGTGGATTCTGCGTGTTCCTTGCCAGCTGTTGTACCTGCTGCGGGTGGATCCACGCGGATTGCTGCTGCTGCTGCTGCTGCTGCTGCTGCTGCTGCTGCTGCTGCTGCTGCTGCTGCTGCTGCTGCCACGAGGGCTCCCCTTGCGGAGCGATCCATGCCGGCTGCTGCTTCTGGTGCTGCTGATTTAGCTCCGATGCTTGCTGCTGCGCTTGCTGCACATGGGGCCACTGAACGGATGGACCGCCTGCCTCCTGCCTAAGCCATAGATTAGGTTTCCCAACCGGAGCCTGCCGCGGCTGCCACGGCAGCTGCGGACCCGCATGCGATGCAGGGGCCCCCGTCCACTGAGTGGTTGCGCATACACTGTGCGAAGCGGGTGGGATACCCCTGCTCGAGCCAACGCCGCCCGGCTGCTGTCTGCTGCAAAGAGCATCTATGGCATCAAAGTCCTGATGTGAGCACATGCCGGCAGGGTGATGTTGTTGGGTGCCGGAGCGCGCGGTGCGCCGCAATTCAAAATCAGCACGAGCAGCACGCGGAGCGCGGCGGCAACAGCACTACAGTGAGAGCGGTTCCTGACCACTCACAATGTCGTCCAGGTCCTCCATGTTTTTCCATCACATCATATGGCTGCGCGGGAGGGACTGCGCTCCTCCGTTGCAGTGGTGTGCCCGGACCTTGCCACTGGTGCTTCTACTCCATCGCATATAACTCGAAGCCAACGGGATCCGAGTGAGTTTTTTGGGTGTTACCGTAAGGTTCATCTAATGTCGTGGCCAGGGTCGTGGCAACCTGCCTGCGGCAAGATCTGATCCTGCACTGCCACGGTGCGCGACGCCCTTGGTGGTACACTGCCACACTGCTTGCTGCAGGCGTTGTGCACGTCTGATTGCCAGATAAATGACGCTGACCGTCATGCTGAAAAGTATCACATCATACGGTACAAGGCAGTAGCCTATCATGAAGTGTCAGGTCCCAGCAAATGCGTACCGGTATTGCTTGCAGCGGTCAAGGAGAGGTGCTGACTGCTGCCGCATGCACCAACAAGCGTTTTCAAGGCGAGCCTTCTGGTAATCACCTGCACATGAATGAATGAGGTCAAAGCAACCACCCCTACGCATGCAGAGAGTGGCCTGAATTTGGTTTTGTCCCATTTGAATGGGACACATGGGACCGTAGGCCCGGCCACCCCTGAATTGCGCGTGGCCTCATATGCCCCTTCAAGAGGCAGGATGTGAGGAACCTCTTTTGATTTGGATTGAGCAATTGCCTAGGGCCTAGACGTCCGACTTTCAACAGCGAAGCTGCGCGTGTGTTCAGTGATGACTGCTGCCAATTCTCAAGCACGCAGGCGAACTCCCACTTCTTGCGGCTGCCACCTGCCACACCTGCTTAGGCCTTGGCAAATACGCAGTCGACCCAGCCAGTACGGCTTGAGCCAAACATGATTGGCAAAACAGGTTGCTGCTTTGACGTGTTCCTATGCCTGATGGTTTTGCTCAGCCCAATGGGGACTTCAGGGGACTTGCTCGCTGTCACCGGTCTTGAGTCTGACCTTACATTGCATGATTGTAAATGTTCATGATGCCGGTGATGCTTGGAAAGCTGCAAACAAGCAAACATGGTTTTGACATGTTTAATGTAATATGGGTCATCAGGTTTCAAGGTCAACAAATGTCACATGCAGTTAAATTCGCAAAACTCTAAACGCAAAATCGGATTGGTACAAGCTGTGAAGGGCATCCAAAGAAAGAGGCGAGTGTGGCCAAGAATGTACAACCCGTCAGCTCTCTCCTGCAAGGGCGCTACAACAGGTCGCTGCCCTCATCGCCCTGTCCAGACGGCCACCCCGTAGATGACTACGCCCAGCAGCACCGGCGTTGCGATGCTCGCCCCCAGGTAGATGTACCCGCGCCGGTGGGCGGGAAAGTTCAGCATCAGAAGTTGGAGCTGCGGTGGTGGGGTGGTGGATGATGGGGGTTGGTGACGGTCTGGGTGCCGGGTGCGGTCCGGCTGGCTGCCTGCCGTGCAGCTGGGGGCCACTGCATGTCCCTGCAGGCTTCGGCAAATGTCGTGTCGTTATTCTTCAACCGCGGCAATCGAAGCAAAGCCCACCACCCGCACATCAACCGCGGCAATCGAAGCGAAGCCCACCACCCGCACATACTTGTTCAAGCGCCACTTGGCTCCTTTGCTGCTCGCCCCTCTCCCTGCCCTCCCATGACCCTCAACCCGCCCACCTCTACCACCCAGGTGGACACGGTGCTCAGAGAGCCGCAGAAGCCCAGCATGATCCCGGTCAGCAGCGCCTCATGAGTGAAAGGCAGCTGCTGAGGGGCCCGCTCTAAGCCCGCCCGTATCGCGTAATCGACGACGCAGGCAATCATGTTGGCCGCGAAAGTTCCCAGCGGGAACCATTTGAGGGCCTTGAGGCTCCCGTTGTACCGCGACAGGCGGAACCGCAGCAGCGCGCCCGGCGGGCCAAGCAGGATCGCGATGGCCGCGCCAGAGTTGGCAAACGGCGAGCTGGCGGCGGTCGTCTTGGTGGCTGCCCAGTATATGGACCCGACGGTGAGCAGCGCCAAGGCTGCGAGGGACAGGGCGTCCGCGACCCACCAGGCCAGGGGGTACCCCACCTCCTCCTCTTCCAAAACGACAAGCTCCACTTCCGCGCTCGGCGCGGCACCCTCCGCTTTCTCCGCCGCCGCCGCCGCCGCCGCCACTGGGGACGCCCGCCGCAGGGAGCCGGCACGCACGAGCGACGCCGCGCGCTCGAGCGCAGCGCCGTCCGCAGGGCCGGCGAGCGCCGCCGCAACAGCCGCTGCTTGTTGCCGCGCCTCCTCAGGGTTCTTAATGCTTGACGCCCGCCTGTCTTCCACCACCACCGTCCCGCTGCCGCCCGCGCCGCGGCCGACGCTGATGCGGCCAAGGCTCGGCGTGCCGAGCAGGGGCGAGGAGGGCGCCGCTGCGGGGCTGGGCGGCGGCTTGGCGATGCTGCCGCGCCAGCCGTACTCGCCACGCGCTGTGAAAGCCCCCGGATTTAGCCTGGGGGACCGCGGTCAATTGGGGCCACGAGGCGTAGGGGTGTGTGTGTGTGAGAGAGAGAGAGAAAGAGAGGGAGTGTATGCACACGCACGCAAATGCGTGCGTATTTGAGTCAAGAATTTGCACAGAAGTTGACAAGCAGCCTTCATTTCGCCTGAAGCGCCTTGCGTCAGTCGTCTCCACCTGCCTCCAAGCTGTCGGTCCAGGCAGCCGGGCTCTCCAGCAGCCTCGACTATCCATCCGCTGCGTTCCCCCCCCCTCTCCCCACCCCACACCCTCCAACCCCACAAGTCACCGACCGCATTGCGAACATATTCGACCGCGCCCAATCAGCACCCACCAGTGGTATATCATGAGGCACATGTGCTGCCCAGTGACGAGCGCCGCCATGCAGACCCACACGTTGAGGGCCAGCGAGAAGAGGCCCTCCACCCACTTTGAGTAGCCCAGTGGGTGGCCGCCAACCATCAGGACGACTGCCTGCATCATCCAGCTGGAGAATGTGGTCAGGGACCCGCAGAACCCCGTGCGCACGCCTATCTGGAACGCGGTGTACACCTGCAGCGAGCTGCCGCGCGGCAGCGCCGCGAGCGGCGCCTCGTCGGCGAGCGCGTGGCCGAGGTGCTTTGACAGGACGTCGGACGACGCGAGCATGCCCATTACGAAGGAGCCCAGCGCGTTCGGCGGCAGGTCCGCGAACAGGGCGCCCGTGGACGAAGTCACGCAGGGCGCCCAGCCGTAGGCGCTTGCGCCTGTCGCGCAGGCGCCGCCGAACAGGGCGTCCAGCTCAATCCGCAGGATGACGCCGACCTGACACCAAGCAGCCAGGTGCAGCAGCGTCTGCAGCTGCGCCACGAATGGATGCCTCGCTGGGAGCCCCATTCTTCTGTAGCACGGCCGAGACTCCTGGCCAACAATATGTGGACCCAGATCACTATAGCCCAAGCATGCTGCTGAGGAGGTGTATTATTGTTGTTTGAAGGCTGATCAATGACAATCGGCGACGGTCACTGAGCAGGCGCGGTGCTGAGAAGATGGTCCACGCGAAAGACGGGGTTGCTTGCTGTCAGCAGTGCTGAAACGGAGTATGATGGGTTATCGTGTACTTGAATCGCTTTGTGATCGGGTCCAAAATGGGTGCGATTGACCTGCGGCAGGGTGTGTCACTGCGTCACTAGCCATTTCCAATTGTGAACATCAGCGCAGAATCATGCTGAAGTTGTGACCCCACCTGCAGTGCTGAGGTTGTGACCCCCCCCAATGCTGGAATTAGCTCAACATTACAAGTTGCACTGTTTCAAGCTGGCGGTTTGTCAGCAAGCGGCGCAGTGTCTGTCCGTGGCTGGCCCGTGAGGCCCGGCACCACCACCCCAGGCTCGCAACCCTCCTCCTCCCGCCGCCGCTTGTGACCACGATGCTCCTCCCCCGCCACCGGCTGCTGGCCGTTATCCTGCACCTCTGGCTCTTGCTGAGGTGTCTCGAGCCGCGCAGCCGCAACCTGTGACGGCTGCTGCTGCTGTTGCTGCTGCTGCTGCTGCTGCGCAGTCACTGCCCCCGCCGCCGCTGCCGCCGCTGCCAAACCGTCCGCGGCCTGCCGCCACCCCTGTGGCAGCACCAGCTCCTGCCCCGCCCGCGCCCCGCCCGCCGCGCCATCGGCTCTGGCCTCCGCCGCGGCGCGCTCCGCCAGGATGTCCCCCAGCCCCGTCGCCACCACCCAGGAGCGCGCGTCTCTCTTGCCCTTTTCTATGAGGTAGCTGCTGGTCTCACGCGGCGACGCCTGCAGGGCCCACTTGAGGACCTGCAATGCGCACACGATTGCAAAGATTGACGGCCGCCGGCATGGCAAGAGAGTGGTTCGCACGGGCTGCCACGCCCTACAGTGACTGCGGCTGCCAGATATTGGCGGCTGCAAAGCGACGCGGCACCATGGTTTGCGACGCGTCTCAAATTGCACCTGGGGCCCAAGCGAATGTCGTGCACACGTCACTGGAGCAGACAAGACTCACCGTGCCCCGACCGATTCAGCACGCCGCTGCCCTTTTTGCACAGCAAGCAAGCAGCCACTCACCGCCACTGCCAGGCAACAAGCAACCAAAGCGCCACTGTCGCACCAGCAGCAAATAAAACTGCTGCTGCCAAGCAACTATTGAAGGGCCCAACGCGACCCACCGTAGGGTAGCCGTGGCCCCACTCCTCAAAGGAGTCCAGGGATATGTCAATGTCCAGGAAGCGCTCCACCAGCGCCAGCCGCGCTGCGCGGGAGCGGATGGCCTCTAAGTGCACAGTGGGGAAGCACATGACCTGAGAAGCGGTGTGGGAGGTGCACAGTTGAAGGAGTGCTGAGAAACACGTTGTAGCTTAAGAGATGAAGGGATCCAGGGGGACGACGCGCTGCTAAGAGGGGTTTGCAGCCTGGCCCGAGGTCAACAGGCACACCGCAGTGCTCGGAGGGGGCGCGATGAAAACTGGGCACACCACAAAAGCTTTGAGCGCGTTGCAGACAGGGCGCCACGGGTGGGCACGACAGCAGGGTGCTCATGCAGATGCGTGCGGCCGAAAGTGGGAAAGCGTGGCGCCACAGCACCTGGGGCCTACCTTGACTGTATAATCTGCCCCTGGCACTACTGGGATCTGAGGGGGCGGGGCGTAAGTGGTCGATGGGGCAGTCAGCAAGCCACAGGGGTGGCGTGCCCAACGGGTTTGAAGCAAATGGGAGAGATGACTAGCACTGATGGCTTTGCGACCGGAAGCATAAGCATTGGGGGTTTCAACCTCCATGCAATGAGCAAGAGGCTGCTGGCGAGCACGCGGACCCGGCTAAGTTGTGGCGGGAAGAAACTTACAAAATTGGTGGCGCCTGGTTGTCACGAGAGGTGAAGGTCGGCAGGTGAGACAGCGAGGAGGGGGAGGGGGTAGGTGGTGTATGGCGAATGAGAGCCAAACTGCCGTTGTGTTGCGCAAGCATTTGAGAGTGATGTCAGCACGAGCAGCTGGCCGGGCTTGAGCAGTGGCAGGTGGCAGTCTGCGGCCGTTCAACTTCCTGCCGCCAGCCCCGCAGCTCCTCCCTGCTCATGGCCCCTCACCGCCGTCGACGGCGTAGTGGCCCCTGAACTTGGTCATCCAGCGCCCATCAAAGTACCTGCGGGGCAAACACAAACCCGGCAGGGCCACAGCCGCATGCCAGGTGCCTGTCAGGAGGGTTTCTGCAGCCGTAGCGTGGGGGCACTGCACAGGCCGGCAGGCTGGTGCTGGGACACTACCCTTTGAGAATCTGACAAGCTGCCGTTGCTGCAGCACCACCTTGCAACGCGACTCTAGCCAACAAGTCAACCCACAATCCCAACAATAGCCTGCTCCTGCCCGCACCCAGTTGTGCAGCGTCCCCCCCCAAAAGCAGGCCGCCCAGATGCGCGGCTCACCAGGGTATGTGGCAGCTGGTCAACAGTGCTGCGACCAGGTCGTCGCGTGACTCAAAATGACTCACCTGCAAAGGTGCAGTTTGGGGGGAGGCTCTCTGGGATTATAGTAATTCCAGGTTAAGGCCTTCAAGGCATGCATCAGCAATAGCAACCGAGCAATTTTATAAGCTGAGTCAAGGCATGCGGTGCGTAGGGAACCCCTTCTGAAGACAGAATGCAAGTGAGTAGTGTGCGCATGGTGCAAACCCCTTGCAGCCGCGGCGCACCAGCTTTGAGCGCCAGTAGGGCAGGGCGCGCGTGATGGCGACGTGCGTGTTGCCCGAGCAGCGCTCGTGGGCGTCTGGCGGCAGGTAGGCGTGCAGGAAATCGCGCAGCAAGGGGCCCAGCCTAGAAGTTCAGGTTGTCATTGGGAGGGCAGAGGCGCCATGATTGCACAGCAGCAAAGGGCGAGCCAAAAACACACAAATGGAAATAACGCTCTGAGGCATGAGGACACGGCTGCACGGGGGGCCGGCTCTGAGGGTAAGCACCGCCCGACTGACGGCAGCGCGATAGTCAGCACTAGCGAGTTGCGGCGCGGCGTGCGCACCTGTGCTGTGTGCCGTTCTGCAGGCAGTCCTCTCCAAACAATATCATGCTTTCCTCTACAACGCGCCTGCACAAGGGAGGATGATTTAAGTCTTGTTTGAGGGTCAGGTAGGCAGACTGGACCGCCGCTCGCGCATTTTTTTTCACGCCAAACTCTGATCTACCAGCAAGGTGGAGAACGGACATCCCAGCAGCAGCAGCAGCAGCAGCAGCAGCAGCAGCAGCAGCAGCAAGCTGCGGAGACCAAGCCGCGGCCTAATGACATGCAGAACCCATTGCCCATGTGAACTCACATGTCGAGGCCGGTGTTGTAAGCCGCCGCGATGAGGGAGCCCGCGCTTGCCCCGGCCAGCTGGTGAGGCCGCTTGAGGACGCCCATTTCCTCCAGCACCGAGCAGACGCCGACATAGTAGGGAAACTGCCCAGGGGCGGTTGCAGGATTGGGAGGTTGACGTTTACAGAGAGAAGCACTTATGCGTGACAGCAGGGCTTGGCCAAAATCCAAGCGAAAAGCAGTGACCTGACCTTGGCGAACGTCTCAGCAGCTGTGACATGAGAGAGAAGCGACACGCCCGGTATACATGGGGCACTTCACAGCAGGTTGGTCGCTAGATCCGCAGCCGCTTGTCCCCTTCCCTGCCTTTGCCTTGGACCCAGCTGACCCACCATGAGGCCGCCGGCGGAGAAGCCAAACGCGAGCGATCCATTGTCAAAGGCGTGCCTGATTCGCTCGAGCTTGGCGGGGTCCTTGAGCGACACGCTGGTGACGTCACTGTTGCGGGTGCTGCTGCTGCTGGGGCTGCTCGGGGGCGCGCCGTCAGCGGAGTCGAGGCTGGCGCCGTCGCTGCCGCCGGGCCACGTGCCGCTGCTGCGAGCCGCAGGGGAATCAAATCCCTCGGGCCCCTTGCCGCTGCCATAGGCGCGCGCCTGATCCCAGTTCAGCCACCGCAGACTATCAGCAACGGCTTTGCCAAGGCGGTTGCCCGCCGCAGCGTGCACGCGCGGGTGACGTATGCATGCGGGGCGTGCGTATGCATGGTGAGCTGGAACAGCTGCTGCTGTCGCTGACGCTTGGGCCATAGCTGTCTGCAGTCTATGCAAATGAGGCCGTGGCTGGGGAATATGTAGTACACCGGGCATTACGCTGCGAGCTCCGAGCAAGAGAACTCGGTAAAAATCACCGTGTCAGATCGTCCACATTGACGCACAGCTGCTTCGTTCAATGTAGGCAACAAAGAATCTCTTCCCGGCAGGATAACTGATGTTGAAAGAATAGCTTATTGTCAAAGAGAACATTAGCACGCCTTTGAGGCCATGTTGCAGTGCTGATGACAAAGGTGTGCGTGATGTCACTCGGTCGTTTGCGCACGAGAGACTGCGTCCCGTCACACCATAAACTTGCTTGATTTCAATGTACTGCTTAGCCAAGCACTCGTGCTCATACACCCATCGTGCAGCAGTCGGTCATTGTCAACAGTTCTGGTGGCGTGTTTGACCGCCACCATTGCTGTACACTGGACTGCTGCGCCCCAAGGGCAGGTCGTAGCTTCCTGTGTCTATCTTCTACATGTTGCCATCTGGGTTTGCACAGGATTGGGGTTGCATCGCAGTGGAAAGGGCCTGCAGAAGCAGGATTTCACCCCATGCCGCACGCAGCTCCATGTCAGATCAGGCTGCTGAGTGACTCTGGTTGCCCAGTGAACCTGAGCGTGTTTGCCTGGAGCCTCGCAAGACACGAGACGTGACGGCACGGCAACCAGTGCGGTGCCCTGGAGGTGCGGAAATGCATGCACAAGAGCATGACCATGCTCAAGATAGGCGTGGACCATGCCCAGAGAGTGAATGCGTGATAGTGCGGATAAGTTCTGGCTATGTCCGGCTTCCAGGGTCAGTCTATGTGCCTCTGAAGGCTGGCGGCGTCTGCAATAAGCTGTGCACTTCTGCCGGAAGCCACTCCCTTGCCGCGTCACTCCCCCCGGCCTGCCCACCAGTCAACAGTCATATCAAGGCCGCGCGCAGCTCAGCAACAGCACGCTTCGCAGGCCGCCGTAGTGCAGCGCAGGACCAGGGACCAAAAGAAGCAGGTGACCCACGGCCCTACCACACACCACTATGCCAAGATAGCCCAACCCTGCAGCGCAGCGGGTATAATTTGTGCATTCGTGCATGCTTGTGCACGCGCATGCGAATTTGCATCTGCCACAGTGTGTGTGTGTGCGCGCGCGCGCGTGTATTGTGTGCGTGTGGAAGGGTGCAAGCAACCACCCCCCTTCCAACGGCATCTACCTCACATCGTGGCTGGCGAGCAGATACGGGACTGCAGAGGTAATTCTGAGATATGCCGAAACAAAAGCTGGCCAGATTCACCTGACAAGCCGCCCATAGAGCGGGAGCAGATTACAGGGGTTTTGAACATACCTGTCGCTGCAGGGTTTCAGTGCAGTTCTGAGCAAGCAACGGCGCAGCCAAGCCGGGTTGGCGACCCCACAACGGCAGTCACCGCGCTGCCGCGACTCTGCTGGCTGCCACCTGCGACCGCAGCGCTTCGATCGTGCGTTCCTGCTCTGAGCACCGCTCGTCCAAGCGGTGACGATCCAGCTTCTGCAGGCGCATACATGCGCAAGGCAGGGGGTAAAAGCATGGTCAGGAGAAAGAGCAGAGCATGTGTGAGGGGTAAAATGCGAACGGGGGACGTCTCATAAGAAAACGGGAGTCGACCCGAGCTGAGTTGCGAGGTGATTGCGTCGGCCAGGCGCCCAGATCAGTCTGATTGGGGGCCAGAGCGCCAAGGCTGCTGATCCGCCGCCGAAAACTACGGGTGCCCCTCCACGACCCTTGACCGTCGACGCCCTTTGGCTCACCAACTCCTCCAGCTCGTCCCAAAACTCAGAGTCAAACACCCCCAGCTCCCCCCGCAGCTCAGCATTCTCAGCCTCCAATTCCTCCAGCCGGCGTTGCAACTTCGCCGCCTCCTCCTCCTCCTGGCCCCCTGGCTGCTGCTGCCCCTCCGGCTGCCGCCGTCCCTGCTGCTGCTGCTGCTGCTGCTGCTCCTGCCCCTGCTGCTGATGCTGCTGGACTTGCTGCTGTAGCTGGTCCGCTGTGGCCCTCAGCGTGACCGACTCCGCCTCACGCTGCCGCAGTGCACCCTGCAGCTGCTCAACCTGCCGCCGCAGCGCGGCCACAGCAACCGCAGCCGCGCTGCCGCCGCCCGCCGTCGCAGCCGCGGCGGTCGCGGCGCTATCGCGCAGCTGCTGCAGCTGAGACCTGAGCTCGGTGTTGGCGCGCTGCAGCTCGCTGGCCGCGTCCCTGCAGGCGGCCAGCTGCTGCTTGAGGCGCGACACCTCGGACCGCGCGGCGTCGGCCTCCTTGGCTGCTGCCTTGCGCCGCTCGACCTCCTGCGTTGGGAATGTAATGGCGCAGGTAGGCGATTGTCCGGGTGTGTGGCTGCGCCGCACACATGGCTGGCAGAGCATGCTGGCCCGGGCTGCATGCAACGTGGCCTGGATCGGGGTTTTTTCGGTGCCCTTGGGACCTACACGTGCAGAGCCATGCTGCCAGTCACCGCCACATGCCCTCATCCCCTTGCCTCGCACTGGTGCACGTGGGGACGTTAGTACACACAGAACCGCTTTCACCGGCCCTTTCTAGACTCCTTGCCTGCATGAAGCGGGTTGTGGGTGTGCTGCCCGCCATGGCACGCTCCAGCGCCGCCCTGAGGTTGTCGACCGTGCTCAGCAGCTCCGCCTCGCGCCCGCTCAGCTTCACTCCGCCGCCCCCCGCGACGGCCCCCGACGACGCGCGACGCGCCGTGGCGGGCGGGGCGTCGGCGCCGCCGCCGCCTGGCGCTTCCGAGCGCGGGCGCTGCTGCTGCTGCTGATGGTGGGGCCGCGCGGCGCCCGGGTCGGACGCGCCCGGGCCAAACAGGTCGTCGAGCCTGGCCCTTAGCCGCCCCAGCGCCGCCTGCGCCTGGTCCCGCTGCAGCTGCAACTCAAACAGCTGCTGCTCCTGAGTCGCCCGCTGCGGCTGCTGCTCGCTGCCGGCTGCGGGCGCGATCTGCTGCTGCTGCTGCTGCTGCTGGAGCGTTTGCTGTGCGCGCTGCAGCTCCGCCGCGAGCGCCTCCCTCTCGCCCTCCAGATGCAGCACCTCGTCCACATAGTCCTTGAGCTGCCAAACAACAGGATATTTTGCAAGGCTTCACAATCAGCGCCATCACTAAGCGAAGCAAATTGAGATGCCAAACCCAAGACATCCTGGTTGCACAGCGCATAAACATACGACAGGCACCACCCGCCCTTAAAGCCCCCCATCCGCTTTGGCAAAGCGCCACGCCGCTTGCAGCTCCAGAGCTCAGGTACGTGCTTATTGAGTGTTTGATAGGCATGTGACATTGCCTGGGAGCAGCCAGTCTCCCCAACCAACCAACCCCACCTTAGATGCGTCGACCGCCCAGCCGGGCGGCATCTGCTGCGCCCCCTGCTCTGCCGCCCGCTTGAGGCGCTCCTTTGCGGCCTCCAGCGCCGCGACCGCGCGCTCCCGGTCATGCTGCAGGCTGCCCACTAGTGCAGCCTGGCGCTCCGCCTCCTTGCGCAGCTCGTCGCACTCCTCGGACTTCTTTGAGAGCCGCTTCCTGAGCACGTCCGAGGGAGTACGTCTAATGCGGTCAGAGACATGTCGTGGGCAGCCGCACGTCAACGCGTGAAGACGCCGACCTACTCGCTGTCCAGTATAAATATCATGTGCCAACCTGGGGAGTTGCCTGCAGTCCCTAAGCCCTGCACTGCCCTCCCGTCCTCACAAGCGCTGCACCCCTCACTCTAGCCCGTCAGTCACCCCCACCTGAGCCCGTCAATCTTGGCAAGAAGCTTTTTCCCCTCCTCCCAGGCGGCCGGCGCATAGCTCACGCCGCTGCCGCCGCCGCCGCTGCCCCCGCTACCGTTCTTGCCCTCGGCCTCCGCCGCCGCCCCCGCCGCTGCCGCTGCATTTCCGGCACCCTTCAGGCGTGAGGGGCCAGCGGCGCCCGCGCCCGAGCCCCGGCCTGACGCCGCGCCGCCGTCGCTGCTGGCGCGGGCGGGCCGCCCTGAGGCAGCGGCGGCCGACGGCGTGGCCGGTGCGGCGTCGCCCCTGCCCAAGGAAGCCTGCTGCTTACCAGACTCCCCCTTCCCAGCCGCCTGCGTCCTGATCGGCCTTGGCCCTGCCTGCTGCTGCTGCTGCTGCTGCTGCTGCCCCTTCAGGTTGGCTTCCTGCAAGGCTGCATTCTCCTTCTCCAGCGCCATGATCCGCGCCAGCAGCGCAGACAACCCCTCCTCGCGCTGCCTGCGCTCCGCAGCCTCGGCGCCGCCGCCGCCCGCCTCTCCCTGCCCCGCCGTACCTGGCTTCGCCTCCGCCTCGCCTTCCGCAGCCCGGCCTGAGATGGCCGCGGCAGCGGCGAGGCGCTTCTGGGTGCGAGTGCCGCTCCGCTGCAGCGTGGCCTGTGCGCGTGCGAGCGCCGCCTTGGCTTCCGCCAGCGCCTCCTTTTCCGACGCCAGCTGCTCCGCCAGCCGCCGCCCGGCGGCCTCGTGGGCGGAGGCCGCCTTCTTGGCTGCGTCGAGGTCCCTGGCGGCCGCGGCCTGATGGAATTCGAGCGGGCAGCATTTGTCCTCGTCAGCATCCGGGAGGACGGTGTTGTCGCGCCACCAAGGTGAGTATATGCATTCCCGAGCACGCACTCGCCGCTTCAAAGCCCGATCCGTGCCAATGGAGCCAACTTTTTTCAAACAGCTTGATGTGCGATCGACCATATCTCTCAGGAGCGGGTCAAAGCCTGTCTTTCTTTTCCAGCTCTGCAGCCGCTCACCCTCTGCGCCTCCACCTCTGCCAGTCGTTCGTCCAGCAGCTCCTGCTCCTTCCAGCTGCTGGCCTGGATCACCCTGGAGGGGGCAGTGAGGACGGCAGGCGGAATGGGCCAGAGCGGTCGGCACAACGCAGGCGGTGAGGGGCTAAGGGATTTAAGCGATCAATCGCGCAGAAGTAGGCCGCAAGGGCCCGCAGCCGTCGGCCACAAGCAGGAGGGCCTCGGAGTGCGCAGCTGAAGGCGGGGCACGGAGCAAGACCAGTCCCAAAGGGAGCGCGATCGCACGGGCTACTGCTTGAACTGCTTGCAGGGACGGTGAGCAGGCGAGCGGGCAGGCCGCGTTGAACCTGCAACCCTGTACTCCGACCCCCAAACGATCAACCCTGAACCCTGGAACCTCAACCCTGGACCCTGGCCCCTGGACTCACAGGTCTGTCCTGTCCCTCAGCAGCTCCGCCAGCTTCCCCTCCAGCGCCTTGATGGCCCCGCGCAGCTGCCGCAGGCGGCCGTCCTTCTGGCGCAGCTCAGACTAGGGAGGGGGATTGGGAGGCGTGCAAGCTTGGGTCTCGAGGGGGTCCATCTCATCATGTTGCAGCAGCACTTACCGATACTTGTGGCGGCAAGGCACGTACCAGCAAGATGCTATCAATCCTATCGGTTCTGCATAACCACCATGCACGCATGGTTGCCGCCGATTGCCCCGCCCGAAGCAAGCCTAGAAATGCAGGCACCATATTGTGGGACCTTGCAGCGCCCAGGTGGACCGTGCCCAACTCGCCACTCCACTCCGCCCCACCTGCAGCTTCTGCAGCGTCGCCCTGTTGGGCGCGTCCTCCGCGGCCTTGGCGGCCGTCAAGGCCCGGGACAGCCGGTCCACCTCGGCATCACGCTGCTTCACCTGCACGGCAAAGCACATTTACGCGCACGGCAGATAATCGGCACCCGCCCTCAGCAGCACAGTGCACTCCCTGCAAGCAGCTGGGCCGCCCGCCAGCCAGCCAGCCAGTTACCTAGCCAGCTAGTCAAGACTAGATGCCAGGCACGCTTGCCAGCTGCCTGCCTGGACAGCAGTCCGGCTGTTGCCTCCCCCCCTCCCACCTGCATCTCGTAGCCGAGCCGCAGCGACTCCAACGACGCCTCCCGCTGCTCCAGATGGCCGCGCAGCGCCTGGTGCCGGCGGCGGCCGGGGGCAAGATGCGCAGTCAGCGCCGCCAACCGGATTTGGGAACCGACCGACGAATGAATCTGGCACGAAGGCGTCGCAGCCGGTCGGACACTACTGTGTGTGAGCGCCTGGGCCCATCCCCGCTGAGAGACCTGCATGCAATGCGGTGCACACGGCCCATGCGCGCCGCACCTCGGCCTCTGAGGTGCGCTCCTCCAGCATCTCCCTCAGCCGCTCGTAGGGCACCCCCTCGCCGCCGTCGCCTGTTGCATAACAAGGTCGCAAATCTCAGCTGTTGCGCACGGGCAGGAGGTCGACGTTTGACAACGCAGGGTTCATGGGACTGCTGGGGCGATCGCCAGTGTCCTTGGAAACGGCCCTGAGTGGTGGCGTATTGGTGTTGGAACCACACACCTGTCGCCGCGAGGGCGGTGCCAGCGCGGGCCAAGCTGGCGCGGATGCCGGCGATGCCCTGGGCGCCAGCCTCCAGCAGTGCCGTCGACAGCCGCTCGATCTCGGCCCTGCGTGAGGGATTTGGGGCGCTCAAGCACTCACTGCTGCAGGCACCGATAGTGTGCTGAATTGAACGTCCGGCATTACGTGATGAACCAATGTCCAGCTCCCTGGATGCCCGCGCTGCTGCTGTAGATCGAACGCGCCTCCAAAAAGCAGAATCTGAGCACTGCCTCCCTACCCCAGGTGGCCTGTTGTTTGCGATTGCACCTCGCCCCGCGCCCCACCTGTCCGCAGCGTGCTGCGCCATGAACGCAGCCTGGTGCTCCCGCGCCGCCTCCGCGGCCGCCGCCAGCGCCGCCTCGCGGTCCCTGACGCGCGCCTGCAGCTCGCGCACCGCCGCCTCGGCCACCGCGCGGATGTGGTCCAGCGCCCCCTCTTCGCCGGAGCCCACCCCTGAATATGACGGCAGCGATGATGGCAGTGGCAAGCAGGGGCGGCCGCACATGAGGCCAGCCCGTTGTACACTCCGACATCTGTTGAGCAAAATCCGTTGTTATCTACGTTCATGCCGTCGACATGAGCTATGTCTTTGTACTCAATGACTGTTTCCCTCCGCAAGGCGTGCGTACGCACGATGACATCATCCCGCCCGCGCACCTCCCGCGCCGCCGTTCGCCGCGCCCAGCATGGCCCTGCTGCCGGCCGACAGCCGGTCGAGCGCCTCGTCGTGCGCGCGCTGCAGCGACTCCACCTGGCGCGCCGACAGCTGCAGCTCGCCCTCCAGGCGGCGGCACTCGTGGCGCATGTGCTCCGCCTCCTGCCGGGCCTGTCGGGACGGCGGCGGGGAGGCGGGCGGCGGCTCGCTCGGCGGCTGGGTACGACGGTGATTGTCGTGCTTGCGTCGTACCATGCGCTGCGGCACAGCATGAGCTTCTGCTTCCGTCGGTGCGTGGGGCCGTTCACATGCAGCTGGATAGTGGGTGAGGACCATAGTCGATGCTGATCAGGTCTGGGGGGGCACCCATGATCTGGACCACGCACACCTCCTTGAGGCTCTCTATCTGCCGCAGCAGCAGCTCCTTATCGGCCTTCGACATCCCCACGCCCGCCGCGCCGCCGACCGCGCCGCCCGGCCCCAGCCCCGCCGCGACGGCGGCCTCAGCGCGCTGCTTGGCCACGGAGGCGCGCGCCTCCTCGAGCTCTGACAGCAGCGCACTGCTGCGCTCCTGGAGGGCCACCACCTGCATGGCCCACCAGCAGCACGCACAGACTTGTCAGAGTGATGATGTGGCGTTCCAGTACCTGCTGCGCTTGATTCTATCAGGCAGCAGGGGCGCTCGAAGGGATGTTGCGACGGTTGAACATCTGCTGTATTCGCTGGACCAGGAACAAGGAGCATCAGAGGCGAGAACGTGGCGTTTCGACACTCCCTATCGTCCTATTACCAGACAGTCATGGAAGGGGTGGCCGCCGATGGGCACGAGGGCAGGCAGGCAGGCAGGCAGGCAGTGAGCCGGGCGCACCTCTGCCTGCAGGGAGGCGGTGTGCCGCGACAGCGCGCGCTTGTCGGCCTCCAGCGCGCCCTGCGCTGCCAGCGCGTCCGCGTCGCAGCGCTCCAGCAGCTCAGAGAGCTCGCAGTTGACGCGCTCCACGTACGACACCTGGGAGCCGTCAAACTCAATTGTCAGTTGTGGGAGATCCCGCTTGGGCGGCTGTACACTTCAGAGCTTGCATTGAGCGTGGTGGCAGGTTCAAACACCAAATTTTTGCCAAGATTGTGTAGCGGGGAACGCCCTGTAAAAGTATTGCATTTATTCCAGTCATGTAACTATCAAAGACGCGTGGCCCCGGCCCACCTTTTGGCGCATCATCCTCTCCGCGCGCCCCAGGCGCCCCGCCTCGAGCCTCAGCGCCACCTGGGCCTCCCTCAGCGCTGCGGCCTCCCGGTGCGCCTCGGGGGCGCCCTTGGAGAGCAGCAACGACGCGTCCTGGGGCAACACGGCGGAGAACGACAGGAGGGGATGGAACGTGAACGGAGCTTTAGTCAGGACAGATGCAAGCCTTGCGGTGCGCTGGCGCCAGCCCACACGCACGGTCAGCGAACCTGGCCGGCGGCCACACACGCCGACGGCCCCTAGAACCCTGGCTCAAGGCGGCGGGAGCGGCCTGCAAAACCGCGCCACGGCCCTACGTGGGCCCCGCCGCTCGCCTGCGCCATCTCCAGCCTGAGCCGCGCCTCCTGCAGGTCACCCTCCGCCCCAGACAGGCGGCCCAGCGCAGACGACAGGCCCTCCGCCATGGCGTCATTCCTGCCCACAGCAAGGCGCATCGTTGGCCGCACGCGGGCTTGGTAAGTGGCTATCCGTCGAATTCGCAGGGTGTGACGGCAGAGAAATCCGCTTTCCATGCAACTGGGAAGCCACGCAGGGAGTGCGGGCATCAAGGACGGGGCGCCTTGACCAGTAGCTGGAAAAGACGGTGCGCGTGCGCCCCTTTCGCGTGCCCCTCACCTGCGCTTGAGCTGCTCCAGCCGCCGAACCCACAGCGTGCTCTTGTACGCGCCCGTCAGCGACGCCAGCGCCAGCTCCAGCCGCGTCTGCGCCTCCCGCAGCTCAGACTCCGCCCACCTGAGCGACAATGGAGGGCAGGGACCAGTGGGACCATAAAAAAAATCTAGATTGTGCTCAGCATGAAATTGCACACATGCCACGTGTCGCTGAGCAGGTTCGGGGCACAGGCAAAGCGCATACTCAGGGTTCAGCGTCCAGGCTGCTGGCTGAGGTTTGACAGGCGCGTCACGACGATGCGGGGGGCGGCACCCACCGCGCGTGGTCCTGCTCTGCCGCCAGCGAGGCGGTGAGCCGCGCCACCTGCTGCCGCAGCGCGCGCCCCTGGCGCTCCAGCTCGAGCCGCTCGAGCTCACTGGGTTGAGGGTGAGATTGAGTTGAATTCAGATAGTCTTGAAAGATAAGAGAACACGATTTGCACTCCCATCATGCTAGAAGAGCCCACCATGTATGCGTGCCAATCATGTGTGAGAAGCTGTGCAAACCCCAGCCAAGTACTCTGACTGCTCATGCTCTAGAAGTGAGGCGGACCCCGCAGACTGTTAGTGGTGGCGCTTTCAAAGCAAGCGCGCGCTGAGGGATCAAACCTGCGGTTGAGCGCCGAGCGCGCCAGGCTCTCCTTGGCGCGCGCGTGCTCCAGCTCCACAAACACCCTCCCCGCCTTGGACGCCGCGTCGCTGCCGCCCATCACGCTGCGCAGCGCGGCCCTGCGGGGGCGCGTGGGGCGCGGCGCGGCGAGGCCGCGTGGTTCGGCGTGCGGTGCGCGGCAAAGGCCCAGCAGGTGGGTACGTGCTGACTAGGCATGCGCCTCCACACCGCTGCAAGCAACACCACCGTCCTGGGCCGGTTCATCTCGTTTCAAGTCGCCCACAAACAAGATAGCAACTATGTTGTACGCGGCCGGCCCGCCCTTCCGGCTCACTTGAGGTTGGTGATGTCCGCCAGCTGCCGCTGCCGCTGCACCGCGGCGTCCTTGGCGGCGCGCTCCGCCCCCTCGGCCCTCGCCAGCAGCGCCGCCTTCTCGCCCTCCGCGTCCCTGAGAACACGCTCAGCCTCGTCCAGCCTTGCGGCAAGCTCCTCCACCTGCCACCAGTGCGCCACAAGTCACACAAGTGGCATCAGAGCTGCCTTCAGTGGTGCAACACTAGCATGTATCCGGCCATCTTGCAGCAGCGCATTGAGGCAGGGCCTGTTGCATAGTATTTGCGGTCCCCGCTCCCGGCCCACCTCAGCGGCCGTCTTGGCCCCGACCAGGCGGCGCTGCAGGCGCGACTCGAGGGCGCGCGAGGTGGCCAGCTCCCCTGCCGACTGCGCCAGCCTCTGCTCCGCCTCGTCCAGCCGGCCCTGGTGGCAGCAGTGGAGTGATGTGTGCTTATGGGTGTGCTCAAGAGCTTTGCACCAGCAAAGCTGGCCAGCAAAACCATCCCTGCGCCCTAAACCCGAAATTGGCCTTTCGCAATCGGCATCAGTCCACGACAGGGTCTGCCGTGAGCCGGCCCCCACCTGTGTGTCGTGCAGCGTGGCCATGATGCGCTCCCTCTCGCGCTCCGCCAGCTCGAGGCGGCGACCCATGCTGTCCAGCTGCACCTTGGCTGCTACGAGGTCCTGCAGGGGTGGGGTGGGGGAGGTGGGCAGGCTCCATTAAACCGGCACGCGTGCATGTCATTGTACGCCCGTGTTTGTGGGTCTACTTTGCGGTGGGCAAAACAGTAATGCGTGGCCACACTTTTGCAGTCCATGATAGATTGGGCGGATTGCACCAGGCACAGAGGACGGATTGCACCCATCACAATGGGCAGACTGCACCAGACGCAGTGGGACGCGAGCAGCTGTCAGAGATATGCAGGAGTGCTGCTTGCCTGGTTGAGTGCCAGTTGAACAGCGTCGTGCCCAGCCACCGAGCCAGCAGCGCCGCCGCTGCCTGGTGCGTGCGCGGGCGCCGCCCCCTTGGCGGCCAGCTCCGCGGGCAGCTGGAGCTGGCGAAGCTTCTCCCTGCGGCCAGATCCGATGCAAAGGATACGTGTTGCCAAACAAACGAAGTAGTCCTCCAGCTGGTGACGGCGACGTCGGTACCGCGGCATTCTTAGAGACAAACCTCACCATCCGCCATCAGTATGCAGCCGCCCCCAGTGAGGGTGCCCGCACTCACCCCAGCTCAGCGGCCCTGGCCGCGGTCTTATCGTACTCCACAGCCAGTGCCGCCAGCCGGTCGCGCGCCGCAAGGAGCTCCTCTGACGCGTCCGCCACGCCGTCCCCGCGCTCCTCCAGCATCCTGGCGCATGCATAAACATGTGGGCCTCACTCAGGGCAACAAAACAAGCACAACAGTTTCAACGCATCGGCCATCCCTTGGAGCTGTGTGGCTCCACAGCCAAAACGATTTCGTTTGCTCAAGGACGCGGCCGATCAGCGGGTTGCAAAACACAGGCGGACAGCCGTATAAAGGCACAAAGACAGGGGGTGGCGCAGTCGACTCCGCAGGGCCGGAGGCGGGCGGGCCCACCTCCCGTGCTCTGCGCAGAGCGCGCGCAGCCCCCTCCCCCCCGGGCCCACCTCCTGTGCTCCGCGCAGAGGGCGCTGTGCTTCTCCACCAGCGATTGGTGCGCCTCCAGCGGCGCAGAAGCCTGCAGCGCGCGGCACAGGCGCTCCGCGCGCCGCTGCGCCGCGTCCGCAGCCGCCTCCAGCCACCGGATGCGGGCCCTGCAAGGTGGCGGTTATTCCTCTCAGCAGCCGGCCAGTGACTGGAACTCCCCCGTGCCCATGCCCCATTCCATTAGAGCCCTTTACACGTATGCAGAGTTAACTAAACGTCAGTGCGCTGAACATCAAACCCCCACTCCTTGTTGTTGGTGAGACCCTCAGTCCCTGATTGCAGACCTTGACCCCCTTGCCTTTGCAAGCACTGCAACAACCCATGACTGGGCAATGTCCCCAAAAGCACCTGCACGTCCCGCTCAGCTCGCCCATCTCTTCCGCCAGTGCCGCCCGCGCGTCGTCCGCGGCCCGCTCCCCCGCCAGTGCCACGGCCAGCTCCCGCGACACCTTGGCGTGCTTGAGCTGCGGGGATCAACATTTAAGGGGGCCCTACATTGACCACAAACTCATGAATGCGTTACGGACGGCGGCGCTTCAGGGTCACTGCGTTGAAAAGTCGGAATGCATCCGCTCGCGTCAATTGCTGACGTGTAAGTAACAAAAGCACTGTCAGTAGCGCTGTCAGGAAGCGTCACCCCTGTGCCTTTTCCCGCACCTGCACGATCGCCATGCGCCGCACTGTGTCGGCGTACTTGCGCCTCAGCGCCACTGCCCCCTCGTCCCCGCCGCCCGCAGCGGCCTCCAGCGCGCGGAGGCCGTCCAGCAGCTCGCCGTTGGCGGCGGCCTGCGCCTGCGCCTCAGCCCTGGCCTTCTGCAGCGCGGTTTCAGTGGCGCCCCGCTCCGAGCGCCAGGCGGCCGCGGCGCCAGCATGCTCCCTTTATTGGGGCGAGGCGGGGTTGCCGTTGCAGGGGGCTAGTAGCATGCTTGGAGGTGTGTGGAGCCGGAGGCGGTACAACAACGCCACACTGCTGCTGCCGCCAGCAACGTGCTGTGTACATGTTGGGTAGGTCTGCATGCAGATTCACGCAGGGGTTGACCCTGAACCTGAGATTGCCTCTCCCGCCCCACTCACTTGTACAGCATTGCCACCTGATCCCCCAGCTGCTGCATCCGTCCTTGGTAGCGCGCCAGCGCGGAGCCGACCTGCGAGGCCGGAGCACGCACCGCGGGGGCGCGCTTGGCGCGGCTCGGCCACTCTGCAAGAGTGTCCTGCGCTGACGGCGCGGAGTACGCAAGCAAAGCCCGTGCGAGGTCCGAGCAATGCAGTGGGGGTGCCCGAGCAGGCGAGCACCGCCGCCCCACAGCCGCGACTGAAGCACGATTTCAGCGTGTTGCACCCCCTGCCCCAAGAAGTCACATGCCTCAATGCACTCACATAAGCACAAGCATCTTCGTACTCACTAACGTGCAAATATAAAGACACACACACAGAAGAGCATGCGTGTGCAGACACGTGAGCGCACGCACACGCACACACACACATACACAAACACACACACACAATGAAGTCACGCACCTCTGTCAACTCCCTGTCCCTGGCCCCCAGCTCCTCCATCGCCTCAACCAGCTGCTCCTTGGCCGCAGCCAGCTGCGCCGCCGCCTCCTCGTGCTCCGCCGCAGGAATGTAATCGCGGCGGCGCAGCTTCTGGGCAGCTTCAACGCCCGCGCCTGCTTGCGCACGCCGTCCGAAGGGACGAGAGGGGCCAACAGAAGCAGTGGGTCGTCGTAGAAGCCTACCACTGCCACCAGACGCAGCACATCAAAAAAGACAGTCTCAACGCCCGGCTACCCCCCTGCTGCTGGGGCGCTAGCAGTGTGTACGAAGGCAATGAGCAAGCAGGCGGTGCGGCGACTGGATGCGCAGGGTTCCTGCAGCGCACCTGACAGCCGCTCCTCCAGGGCCGACTTGGCGGACGCGAGTGCAGACAGCTGGGCGTCCTTTTGGGCCACCACCACCTGGGGCGGAAACAGCGCCGCAGCGCACAGGCGTGGAGTGCGGCGCGGCGTGGAGGGTCAGCGCACGGTGGCGAGTGCAGGGCTTCGGAGCGCCGCTGGGAGGCTCGATCTTGCCAAAGCCCAGAGTCTTCGTGTGCTCCAGTGGACACTTGTCTTATTGCATTCTCACGTTGTGCGCTGCGCCTCAAGAGGCCAAAAAATGCAAGTCATGATTGGGGTGCTGCACCTCACCTGCAGGTTGACCACCTGACGCGCCAGCTCTTCCAGCTTTGAGCAGAGCTCGTCAGCCGCCGCGTCGGCAACAAAGTTGTCGCCTTTGAAGGGTTTCGCAGCAGAGGAGGTGGCAGGATGGTGAGGCGTTGCTCAGGAACATTGGTCGTGCCGGATGCGGAATGCCAGCAAAGGCGCCGCAACGTGGTGCTTCTGTGTGAAAGCGTCAGGGTGAGATGGAAATGGTGACATGTGGGGTCCCTGAGCAGTGGGTCCCTGGTCACCTGCCGTCACCCTCTTGGAGGCCGCTCTGGCGGCAGCAACCACTGCGTTGTCAGCCGCGGAGCCTGCCGTCGGCGCCCCGTCCTTGGCCACCGCCGCCGCGTCCCTGATGACGTTTGAGGCCGCCCGCTCCGCCGCCGCCAGCTTCTCAACAGCTTCTCCCAATAAACGGTGGTGGTCCGAGTCTGGCGAGGAATGGTGCTCACCTGCCAAGCAAGGTGCAAGTGGTCCGCTGAGGTTAGCCCATGTGCCAGGGAGGCGGCGCGAAGATGCAACACAGGTACCTCGCCCATCCGTCAGCGAGGATTGCCCCGAGCGTTCAACCCTGCTCACCAATACCAGCATCCATGCTCCTGAGGCACTGCAGCGCCTCCAGCACAGCCGCCCGCACTTCCTCCAGCGCCCGCGCCGCCGCCGCCACGGCCCCTGCGCTCATGAGACCGCCACCCGTCCACGCGCCAATCGCGGCCGTGGACAGCGATGCGGCCAGCGCGGCGCCGGCGCCGCCTGAATCACGGGATGCGGCGGCCCCCCTGCCGGTGAGTGACGTCATGTCGGCGAGGGCGGGCCTCATGTGGGGCGGTATGTCGGCATACGCCATGACCTCGGCAAGGCGGACCTCCAGGAACTCGATCTGTGTGGGAGATGGATGGGTAATCGGCAGTTGAACAGTTTGGGAGTGAGGCAAGGGTATGGTTGAGTTTTGGGAGGAGCCTGACTAAGGACTGCAAAGGCATGTGGTTGAGGGTTTGATTGCAAGAACATGTTTCAAGGCTTTGAGCAAGGCGGAAGGCGGAAAGAAAATCAGGCGCCGAGAGTGTCAAGGCAACCAATCACAGCCCCCTCTGCCCGTGTTGCGCAGGCCAAACAGTGCACCCCCCATGTTTGCGTTCGTCCCGAAGCCGCCCACCCTCTGCTGCAGCTGCGCCGCGAGGCGCTCCTCTGGCACGCGGCCGCCCTTCAGGTCCTCAGCAAACTCCTCCAGCAGCAGGAGCTGGTCAGGCGTCAGCCCCATCTCCAGCGCCGCCCTGCGAGTGCGGCGTGCGGGAGGTCCAGGGTGCACGCGGGGATGAAGGGATGAATGGAGCGGCACCCAGGTGATCCAAGAAAGGCGCCCACACGCTTGCAAACAGGAGCCGAAGCGGCCAGCAGCGGCGCCCAGCGCCGCTCGCAATGGAGCGCAAGCCCGCGGCGGGGCTTGCAGCCCCTGTGAAAAGCCCGTTGCATCGACTGCGCCCGTTAAGTGGGACGCGCCTGCCGTGGTACTTTGCCCTGAACTTGACCTCCAGCCGCAGCTTGCGCCGCTCCTCCTCCAGGTCTGACACCTGTCATTGGGTTTCAGCGAAGAGGATGAGGTGAGTGTAAAGACAGCTGTGCTTGATCATCGACAAGGGCGGGGCTTCCACGGAAATAGGGCCGGCCGGGCGCAGGGCGTGGTGTCGCGCTAGCAGCGGCGGCAAATGTCAAGCTCCGGCGCTCGCGTCGCGTCCTAGCCCCGATGCCGCCTGTGACGGTTGCGCCGCGCGGCTCGCAGGCGGCAAAGCGCCGGCAGCCAGCGGCGCGCGTCCGCGTGCGTCGCGTTCACGCACCTGCCGCTCGAGCAGGGCGTTGACGCTCCGCAGCTGCGCCAGCGCCACCTCCCGCGCCAGCCGCACGCCCGACGCGTCGACGGCCGCGCCCGGCGGCAGCCCCGCGCGCTGGCGCAGCGCCGCGTTCTCGTCGGCCAGGCCCTCCAGGGCGGAGCCCAGGCTGTTCGCCTGGGCCACCAGGTCACGCACCTGGGCAGGTTCATTGGAAGCAGGTGGAGAACCAGGAGTGGGGGTGCAGGTGGGTCCAAGGGGGTGAGTAGGGGAAGGAGAAAGTGTGGGGCGGCGCCGCACAGCGCGGCGTCGTTGTGTGGGTGATAGTGGGTGGGGGGAGAGGGTACGAGATGAGCCTGCGGGCCCGCCAGCGCGAGTTCGGGGTGGCGTGAAGTTGTGGCTATTGGAGTTTGTGTTGCATGAGGATTTTGGGACGCAGCCAAGGGTGCTGCCATCATCGGGTGGCAAAGTGCCCGCTCCATCGCTGGCCGCGCACCCTGGCCTCGGCCTGGGCAACCGTCTCCTTGAGCTGGCGGATCTCAGCGGCAGCCTGCGGACGCAAGTGGCATGCGGCATTTCGTTGGGTTTCGTCAGCGACGGCGGAGTTGGCGGCACGCTTGACAACGCAACGACCTTGTCAGCCTCCACCAGCAAACGCCTCCCTCGCCGCCCACAAGCAGCTGCGCAGGTCCCCCGCTTTCAAGATTGTGGCAATGACCATTGTCACAGTATTGAATCAACACCCCTGCCAACCCACCTGGGGCAGCCCATACACCCCGCTCTCATACGCCTCGCACACCGCCGCCGCGTCAGCGTGTGCCGCCTCCGCCCGCGCCGCGGCCTCCTCCAGGCCCGTGCAGCGCGTGCGCTCCTTACTCAGCGCCTGCTCCAGAAACGCCGTGCGGCGCTGCAGGCGAGACAGCTCCTCCGACTGCAGTGGTGCAAAACCCAGACAAGTGCGTATGAGAGGTTGCGGGCGCAACATGTGCAGGAGCAACTTTACCAGGCGGGCAGGTGAGGGCCGGGCGACGCTGTCACGGGTGCAGACTGATGCTGGCAGCCGTCGCCGGCAATCATCATGCTCTCCAGACACGCCACCAACCACCCTCAGCCCAAGCCTATCTGCTCATAAGCAGCAGGCACGCTCCCCTCCTCTCAAAATCCCTGACACGTCCCCCGGCGCCCCACCTGCCGCCCCAGCGCGCGGTCGACCTCTGCGCCCACGTCCCTCTCCAGCTGCTCGTACGCCTCCAACAGCAGGACCTCCTTCTCGCGGCTCTCGGCCAGCTGCTCCCGCAGGTCCGCCAGCTGGCGCTCCAGGGAGGCCCCGCCGGCGCCGGTGCCCTCGCTGCCCGACTCGCTGGCGGCTGCGGCGGCAAGAGGGGACGGTGGCGACGCCGCCGTTGCGTGCAGTAAGTCGGAAAATCATTGGATGCTGAGGTCACAACAGGCCTTGAAAACAAAGCATAGCACCCTGGTCAAATCACATGTGACTTGAAGGTCGATTTTCCAGCAGTGCGCACCGTCGTCGTGCCGCTGCAGGGCCTGGCCCGCACCCCGCCGCGCCGCCGCCTTCTCCCGGGCCTCCCTTCTAAGACCGTCCACCTCAGACTGGAGCGCGGCCTTCTCCTCCTCCCACGCCCTGCGCGCGGTGAACGCGCATATGATGTCATCCACTTGTCATCATCATGCGCCCAGGTGCCCGTTGTTCTCCAAGAACAGCTACCACTCCAGCACCGGGCGGCAGCGAGGCTGCACAGACAGAAAAGCTTCGTGGCGTGACCAGTGTCACCTGTACTGCCGAGCAAACTTCTGCTCGAACTCGTCCAGCAGCGCCATCTTGTCCGCCACCTCAGCGCGGAGCTGCGCGGAAAGCTCCTGCAGCTGGCCCTTCTCCCTGGGCGCGTCGCGGTCGGCAGGGCGCTGGCCGACGTCAGTGCACAGGACGAGGCCTTGCGTCGCCATCAGTGCAAGCGTTGCACGCAGGGCGCAAGATTTTTCAGGCCGGCATACGCTCCACGTATTGCAACATTGTCTGGCCGAGCCAGTCCCGGGACAGTGCTGCAAAACGTCAAGGATATGCCACCCTTGGGAGGGTATCCCGCAGCAGCTTGTCTGCGCGTCACAGCCGTCTGCCCGCACCTGACAAGGGCCTCAGCCCTGACTTCGGCCTCTGCCGCCTCCAGCCGCAGCGCGCGTACCTCCTCATCAAGCCCCAGGATCTTCTCAGACACCTGTGGGGTGCACGGGGTGTGTGCCAATTTGTGTGCATGTGTGTGATTGTGCATGCGTGCGTGCATGTGTGTGCGTGTGTGTGTGCGTGTGTGTGCGTGTGTGTGCGTGTGTGTGTACGTGTGTGTGTGTGTGTACGTGTGTGTGTGTGTGCATGTGTGTGTGTGTGTGTGTGTGTGCGTGAGTGTGTGTGTGTGTGTGTGTGTGTGTTTGCCAGGGTGCCTCGATCCGCGAGGGCACTACGTCATGACAGTATATTATAGATACCCTCACCCAGAGTCCCCAGTCTGCTTCCGCCAGGCAATGCTTGGTCCCTACGGGTGTAAAACCGGACTTCCTGCTGCCACCATTGAGCGCCATCCCATCCCAGCCGGCGCCACGCCAGGCCCAGCCGCTTGCCGCTGTTTCGCTGTGCAGCACAACCCGCACACCTGCAGGTTCTCCTCGCGTATGGTCTCCTCGCGCTGCCGCAGCTCGCAGTTGGTGGCCTCCAGGGCGCGGTTGTCGCGCGTCAGCCGGTCAATCTTCCACTCCTGCTGCTTGATTGTGTCCTGAAGGGCAGCCGCACAACAGACACGCGCGGCGCGATCCAACCGATTTTGGGCGCTTTCTAATATGGATTGCAGGGCCTGGCCGAGCTTGCTGGTGCTGCAACCGCCTTGCCCGCCCGCCGCACCGCGATCCCCAGCACCCTGCCACGGCCGCCGGCGCCGCCGCCGCCCTCACCGCAAGCTCCCGCTGCGCCTCCTTGCCTGGCCCCTCGCGCTGCGCCGCGGCGTACTGCGCCTGAAGCTCTGAGTAATCGTCCCGCAGCCGCGCCAGCGACTCCCGCAGGTCGGCCGCCGCCTCGTCGCGCGCACGCACGTCCTCCAAGGCACTCTCCAGCCTGGGCGCAGGGCGGGCCGCGCAGGGTTCGGGACCGAGGATTCCATGACACAGCCATTGACGGCGGGGCACGGGGGCTGCCAAGCCAATTGGTCGTGTGTGTATTTATAAGGCGGCTGCTGCTGATGCACGGGATGGAAGCGGAGGACCAAAAAGCCGTGACAATCTACCCACCTTGATTTGAGGTCTTCGATGCTTTGGCGGTCTCGGTCCGCGTCGCGCGTGAGGTCGTCGTTGGCGCGCCGCTCGTCCTCAAACGCGCGGCGTAGCTCCTGGCGGGCGCGGCGAGGCGGCCGCGAGCGTGGAGGCTTACTGCGCGCGCTTGCTCTAGTTTTGCAACTGGCCCGCTCCGACCAGCGACGGCTGCCACGCGCGGGACGTGCACGCAGCTTGCCATGCTGCTTCTGTCTTTGACTTAACCGCACAGGCAGCAGGCGGCAATGGCCAAACACAGCAGGCAAGTTTTGCGAGTGTTGGGATGCAGGGCGTGACCAGCAGCAGCAGCAGCAGCAGCAGCAGCAGCAGCAGCAGCAGCAGCAGCAGCAGCAGCAGCAGCAGCAGCAGCAGCAGCAGCAGCAGCAGCAGCAGCAGCAGCAGCAGCAGCAGCAGCAGCCGCGACCCACCCTGAGCTCGCGCTGCAGCTCCCGCACATCTCCCGCGTCCTCTGTTGCGTCCCTCAGCTGCCGCAGCTCCGATATGTCCTCCTCCAGGGAGCGGTTAGACTCCTCCAGGGCCTGATGTTTCGAGTCCCGTATGGCGATGGATTACCAGCTAGGTGGCAGCATGCCGAAATGGCCATGACGTAGAAAGAGCAAGCTAACCGCTGCAGACGCAAGAAGCGCATGTTTGCACCCGTCCAACATTTTGTGCCTGTAACCAATCTCTTATCCGCAGGACAGGGCGCCGCAGCAGGCAGTCTCGCGCAACCGCCTTCGGCTGCATCTGCGGTGCGTCGCGACCCGCCGCGCCGCACCCGAGCGTCCTCCCGCAGCGCGTTGGACTCCTGCAGCAGCCCTTCGTTGTCCGCCACCTGCACCTCCAGCCCCAGCTGCACCAGCCGCAGCGCGCGCAGCAGCAGCTCCACGTTCTCCTCGGCCGGCAGGCTGGCGTCGGGCGAGATGCAGCACGCGCCCAGATCGCGGGCGGCGCGCACGATGTCGTCGACCTCCGGGTCCTGGGCCCGGAAGCCCTGAACGATACAGTTTCAGATTCCGCGGCGCACATGGCGCGTGCGCGCGGCGGGGCGAGCCGCGTTGGCGCATGGCTGGCGCTGCGGTTGCGTAATGTGCCGTAGACGCGTGCACTGCCAGCAGACGGCGCTGCAGCGGCGCTGGTGCTTTCGTGGCATGCAGCACAGAGTGACTTGAAGAGAAACAACGAACGCGTTTGGGCGCCTCACCGACTTCATGGCGAGCTCATCAGGACTGATGCCGACGAGCTCGAGGAGCTCGGGCCCGGTGAGGACCTGGCTGCGCGGCTCGAACTGCATCTTTAGCGGCCTTTCCTTCACATACAGCTGCTCGACATGCTGTTCCGGGCTTGAAGCCCAGATCGTCTCTGAAATGCGACGGTTCTGCCAGAACAAGACGTGAGGTACTCAACATGTATTTAATGGTTATATGGGCTCTCTTGACAGTGCGGTGACCCCTAGCACCCGCGGTGCGGCACCCGTCCTGCGGTCAACACTGGTCAAACTAGCTGTCGGTGGGAAGTGCTGGCCCATCGCAATGTTTGGCGCATGTTCAAAGAGCGAAAAGCACCTGTAAAAGCACAAGATCGTGCAAGCACACGAGCATGACTCAATGTGTGCGCATGCACGCTTTTGACCCCATGTGCGGAAACAACTGCTCGCTTTGAGCCGCAGCTTGCCCCGCCTGCCCGGACCATGCAGCTTTTGGCATTAAGAGTTTTCTGCAAGCACGCATATTTACACAACTTCGTTCAGCAGCATAGGCGGGGCGGCTTGTTGGCAACTATCCACGGTAGTGAGAATTTATCACGAATCATCCAGCCTGTCACATTGCACCATACCCACACCAGACACGTTGGGGCGAGTGCATGGCGACTGCGTGTACCGGCGCAATGCTAGGGCTCTTTATATGCTGCCCCTGCATCAAGCTAGTCAGCACCATCACCTAATCCATGACTAGTGCGTGAGTGATGCTCAGTGATATCAGCAGCCCACAAGTAGTAGGTTCACCATTACTTGTACAGTACCGTATGTCTCTTAATAGTAAGACGAACGCAATAGGCGAAAGTTCTTATATTGCGAGATTTTATAGCTTAGGCGAAAAATCCGTCTTATAATTGCAGCACGGGAGCAGCTGCTGGGTAGGGGCCACAACCAAGAGCAGCCCAGAGCCAGAGACGGCTGGGATTGTCATTCCAATAGCTATTTAAAGTATTTGCGAACATCACCGCTTCGCACAGCCATGGATCCCCCTATGGAGATCTCCCCTCAGAAGGATGGGCCCTCGCCCGTGACGGTGCAGCTCGCTGCTGCCTTCAACAATGCAACATGCTACTATGCCCCTGGTGGCCAACTCTGACCAGATGGCCCAGTATGTCTGTCCCACGGCGGCGGGCAGGCGCGCGAGGCGCACAGCTGCAGTGGGCGCGCAGCTGCTGTGGCGTGAGCAGCGGCGGGTGGGCCACCTGTGAGCCTCATGTGTTGAACATAGAACATCAATATCTAATTAGTGGGTGCTTGCAGAACTTGGAAGTATGCTGTGAGCATGCTGTGGGCGCATATGCAGCAGGATCCAGCACTCAGGCAGGCAAACACAGCCGGACCGCCTTCTGCATTGTGACACAGGGAACAGCCTAGGTCACAAAAGCGCCTTATAGATATGAAACGTGCACATGCCTGACCCCAAATGTCTTAAATTGTGAACCTCCTTACTATTAAGAGACATACGGTATGACATATGGACGGGTGTGAGTTTGTGGGATGCTGGATGGGCGCAGCACGTCTTGGCACCATCGCACCCGACCCAAACAGCAGCCCAGCTTCCTGGTGTGTGTGTTGATCAGCACGATGGAAACGGTGGGGTGCAGCGCCCAAGACCGCACATCGTACGCATCAGAATCACGTATAACTACTTCGTGGTCGTGTGAAAGCGCTGTGTACGCAGGTGGATCATGCACGGTCCCAATGAATGCAGCGTGGTAACGCGTGGGCCACACGATATTCTACATAAATTTAGAGCTTCATAGAGCCGTCTCTGTCGAGTGGCGCTTCCACTGCAGCTGCCGCTCCCCGGTCTGCAATCGCTCTTGTGCAGATTGACTGGGCACGTGCCCATCAGAGAGACGTAATGAGACGCTGAAACGGCACAAGTATGGGCCTGATACGGCGGCCAGCCCCCTCGCCGCAGTTGGTGGGCGACGAGGATGATGCCAGCCCTCTGCTTGCTGGCAGCAGCAGCTCCAGCTGCGGTAGTGGCAGCAGCGGCGGCGAGGCTGACGGCCGCAGAGATGCATCTTACTTGGTCGGCGCAGCGGCGAACAGCGGCCGCGGCTCCGTGGCCGCGCCACTGGAGACCCCCGCTGGCCCGGCCAAGTCGCGGCTCAGAAACGTCAGCGGTTTCGACCTGCCCGCGCCGACGCTGCCTGCGCCGGCGCCGCTCGCGACGGCCGCACCCGCCGCCGAGCATACCAGCGCCAGCTGGGCCTACATCTCTATGCTCACCAACAATGGCGTCTTCCTGGCGCTGGTCGCGTACCTCGTTTTTGCGATCAGCGCTTTCAGCGTCAAGCTCACCCACGGTGAGTAGCCTGCCGGCAGCGTCGCACTAGCAGCGGCGCAACTTCACGGCCCAGGCGTGCGGCAGGGCCTGTGGGCACGCTGCGAGACCTTCTATGCAAATCGTTTGGTTTGCAAATTGGGCCACCCATCTGATGCAAACCGCGGCGTCGCGCAGGCCGGGTGCCGGTCCTGGAGCTGTGTCTAGTCCGCAGCGCGCTGTCCTTCGGCATGTGCGTCGCGCTCATGCGGGGCATGAGGATCTCGCCGATGTTCGGCAAGCGCAGCAGCTGGCCACTGCTCCTTGCGCGCGGGTGCTTTGGCAGCATGGGCATGGTGCTCTATTACGTGAGCATACAGCTGGTGCCGCTTGGGGATGCGGTCACGCTAGGTGAGGCCGTTGGGGCGCTGACTGCTGGCAGCTGCTTGACCTCTGCTTTGCAGGCAGCTGCTGTGGTCGGCAGCGGTTGGTGAATCGGCATGCGTGCTTTCAGGAAAGCTCTTCTGGTGCACCCGCTCGTCTGCAGTGGTGTGGACCGCAAGCAAACATACGCCGCCGGCAGGACGCTGACGAGGATTGCTTGCTTTTCGCACGCATCGCGCAGGCCTGATTCAGCCGCCCATCACGGCCGTGCTGGCACGCCTTGTGCTGGGGGAGCCCCTCGGCATCCGCGGCGCGATGGGGTGCCTCGTCAGCCTCGCGGGCGTCGTCTTCATCTGGTGAGGCCGAGCCGGCATGCAAGGGGATGGGGTTTCATGTTGCACACAGCAATGCTTCCGCTTTGCTTTAATCCAAAGCCAGATATGAATGCGCACGCACAAGTTGATGTTGCTGATGCTGTCTGCACCGTGCATGGTCATGATGCAGGCTTACCTGGATGCCGTCTGCCCCTGTCGCGTGTTGCACCTACCCCGCAGCCAGCCGCCCTTCCTGTTTGGCGGCAGCACAGGTGGCGCGGCCGACGCCGCAACGCGCATGCGTCTCCTGGGTTCTGCGGCGGGCTTGACGGCGGCGGTGCTGAGCGCTTTCAGCTTTTTGGCAATCAGGAAGCTCGGGGCGGCTGAGAAAGCGCCCGTTGTGGCGATGGTGCGCGGGCTGCTGCCGTGCTGATGCAGGCCGCCTGCTCACTGCACATGTTGCTCATATGTTACTGCTGTGGTGGCTGGCTGCTCACGTCAAATTCCCAACCGCTATGCATGTACTGGTGGCTTGAGTATCAGCAGCAGCCGCAATGCTGCGCAAGCAAGTGCCTAGACAACAGTTTGTCATATCAGATCGCTCCTCCATTCTTGTTGCTCTGCAGGCCTTCCACACTGCGTCGCTCATCATTTCGTCAGGCCCCCTGCTGGCCGGCTGGCCGCAGAAGGCGCGCGTGCCGGAAGAGTACGACGCAGGGCTGCTTGTGGGCGTGGCGGTGACGTCGTTCTTTGCGCAGCTGCTGATGACGCGCGCGCTGCAGCTCACGGCGGCGGCGCGGGTGTCTTCAACGAGCTTCACCCAGGTGTGGCGTGTGCGCCTGGCTTGCACGATGCTGAATGCTCGGACTCAACCGTTGCTCTTGAAATGTGCTGATCATGTTTGCATGAGAAATTTGTGCTGCTGGTATGTGATTTCTCATTCTTGCACAAGGTCCAAATGGGCCGAACCCAGCCCTGCTTGGCTGTCAGACACACACAGGCTGTCAAACACACGAAAACACGCACTCACACACACTCACACACACACATACACACACAAAAATAACAATCCAACAACAGGTGATGTACTCCTACGGCCTTTCCATGATCTTCTTCCATCAAAAAATCAGCCTGGTTAGCGCAGCAGGCGTGCTGTGCACCCTCGCTGGCGTGGCGCTCGTCGTGCTGCGCCACAGCCCCGCGTCCCGCCCGCCGCCAGTACGGCCGGAGGAGCCAGTCCCCATGGTCTCCAAAAGCGTGTCTGTTGCCGCCCCATCGCTGCCCGAAGCGCCTTCTCTTGACAGCACGATTTTGCCCGCGGAAGTGAGCTTTGCAGAGCGCCTGCTCAGCAAGCAAGCTTCTGCTGCCGTGGCTGCCCCTGCGGCCGCAGCCCCGGATTCCGCGCAGCAGCAAAGCCAGCAGCAGCAGGCAGCCGAAGGTGTGCAAGGCGAGGGCGGCGCAGCAGCCGGGCTGGAGCCTGAGCAGAGGCGTGCGTACTTGAAACAGCGTTCGCTGCGAGCGATTGAGTCAATCCGCCGCATGTCCGTCGACATCACCGAGGGTGGCGCCGCAGCCGCCAGATCGCTGATTAACCAGATTGGCCAGATCAGCGCTGCCGCGGCGGCACAGATGGAGCAGCAGCCCAGCATGACCATGGCTGACCTGGCTATGGCTGCGGAGGGCGCGTGCAGCGCTTGCACAGCCGCGCTTGCAGCATCGACGGCCGCGTACGAAGCCGCCAGCGCGGCGGACGACGGCGGCGCGGCAGGTGCGGCCGCGGCCGAGACGCAGACAGCGCCCCGCGCCATGCAGGCCGTGGCAGCGGCGGCCGCGGCCGAGGTCGTCGCCGCGGCTTTCCGAGGGGACGAGCTCCAGGCGTCGAGCGGAGGAGCAGCGCGCTGCAGCGGGGGCGCCAGCGCAGGCGGCGGCCTCATCCCGGCCGTCGCCGCGGTGGAGGTGAGGTCGCGCGGGCATTTGTGCAGCGACGAGCCCGACGGCCTGACAACCTCGGACGACCTGGACGACGCGGCCGAGGGCCTGCTGCAGCAGTTCAAGGAGCGGAGCGATGCACCGCCGGCCGCTGCTGCAGGCGCGCAACCCAGAATGAGCAGCCAGCTGTCTGGACAGCTGGACCAACCCCCTGGTGGTGGCAGCGATGGTGGTGGCGCGCGCGGCGAGGTGAACTGACTGGTTTGTGGTTGCTTGCTGTATGCAGTGCGCCTGGCTGTGACTTGACGATTTGTGACTGGACAGGAACACAATAATGCCTCATGAGGGAGTCAGTGCGTGTGTATTTGGCCCAGGCGGCTTTCGCAACGTAACACACGAGATTTCAAGGCTGCGGCATGACGCAGCTTGGTTGAATACTCTGCGGGCAAACACGGCTCCCACGTACACACCCATTGCTTCCTCCTCCTTGGATTTTTGGTTGAGTGGATAGACCACCGCGGGATGTTCTTTGACCCAGTCAACAATTCTGGCACAAAAAAATGGCTACCCACCCCCTGATGTAGACTGGGGAGCCGTAGCAGCTGCAATCTTTTTGGGTCCAGATGCTGCATATTAAGCGCAATCTGAGACCTGCTGAGGTACACCATCAGCAGGTCATCAGTGTGATTGTTGGCCCACAAATATTACCGTCACCGGTTTGCACCCTGGACAGTTGATTACTGAGTCGGAGTAAGGAGTGAGGATAAAATGCAACAGCGGGGCCGTGCAGCGTGCATCGCCGCACTCGCCGCCGACCAGCCCGCCCAGTGCGGCTAAGGCGGCGGCGGCGGAAACACAATTCGCGCGCCGCCACGCGACCTGTGATCCCCAGATGAACGCGGCGGCGGCAGCAGCTGTTCCTCCGTCGCTGTGCCCGCGCCCTGCCCTGGCCCCTCGGTGCCGCCCGCAGAACTCCGCCCTGCGTCCGCCGCCGCCGGGCTGCCGCCGCCGGCACGCCCGCCTACCCGCTGGCCACCGCCAGAGGGAGACACGCCGCCCTCGCTGCTGGCGCGCGGGGGCCGCTCACCGCTCGCCTCGGGGCGCGGCTGAATGGCCGCGCCCCTGCTGGCGCCGGGGGACCCGCTGCGCCCCCGGCTGACGCTGCGGCTGCGACTGCGGCTTCTCAAGTCCCCAGCATCGCGCCGCTGCTGCGCCTCCGCCCCGCGCGGCTCGCGCCCGCGCTCGCCGCCGCCGCGGCGGTCGCCGCCCGCGCC